TTATTCTATTTTATTTTTTAGAGATGGAGTCTTGCAATGTTGCCCAGTCTGAACTCAAACTTGCCCAGGCTGGTATGCAATGTTGCAATCATAGATCACTGCAACATTCAATTCCTGGGCTCAAGTGATCCTCCCGCCTTAGCCTCCTGAGTAACTGGAACTACAGGTGCCTCTGCACCCAGCTTTACTTTATTTTATTTTTAATTGACACATAATGTACATATTTATGGGGTACAATGTGATGTTTCGATACACGTATATATTGTATAATGATCAAATCAGGGTAATTAGCATATCTGTCACCTCAAACATTTATTGTTTCTTTGTGGTGAGAACATTCAAAGTCCTCCCTTCTTGCTATTTGGAAATATACATTATTAACTATAGTCACCCTACTGTGCAATAGCACACCAGAACTTACTCCTCCAATCTAACTGTAACTTTGTACCTGTTGACCAACCTCTCTCCATTCCTCCTCCCCACTACTGCCTTCCCCGCAAGCCTGTGGTAACCACTTTTCTACTCTGCTTCTATGAGATCAACTTTTTTAGATTCCTTATATGAGTGAGATCATGTGCTATTTGTCTTTCTGTGTCTGGCTTATTTATTTATCATAATGCCCTCCACATTCATCCATGTTGTTGCAGATGATAGGATTTATCCCCCCACTTTTTTAAGGCCGAATAGAAAATGTGTGTGTGTGTGTGTGTGTGTGTGTGTGTGTGTATTTAATTTAGCCCTCCCTAGTATAAAAATTAGCAAACCCCTGCAATAAAATTCTATTCAGGCCGGGTGAAGTGGCTCACGTCTGTAATCCTAGCATTTTGGGAGGCCTAGGCAGGAGGATTATTGAGGCCAGGAGTTTGAGACCAGCCTGAGCAAGAGCAAGTCCTTATCTCTACAAAAAAAAAACAGAAAAGAAAAATTAGCCAGTCATGGTGGTGTGTGCCTGTTGTCCCAGCTACTCAGGAGGCTGAAGCAGGAGGATTACTTGAGGCCAGGGGTTTGCGATTGCAGTGAGCTATGATGACACCACTGCACTCTAAGCGCTGGCAACAGAGTGAGACCCTGTGTCCGGGAAAAAAAAACAAAAAACCACCATAAAATTCTGTTCAACAAATGTTCAGTGAACACCAGTGCCCAAGTTAAAGGACAGTAGTTCTTAATCTTTGAGTCTCAGTTCCCTTTGATAAATTTGAATGGTATGCAAATTTTCTGCCCAGAGAAATGCATACAGTTACATACACAGCATTTTAGGGGGGTTTACTTATCTTCTGAAGCCCACCCATAGATGAAGGGTTAACTCTTGCCCTGGGAGGTGCCCTTTTCCCCAAATATTTTCCAATTAAAAGTTATTAATAAAGGAATGGAATACTATATCCACACAGTGGACTACTTTGGGGCCATTAGAAAAATGAGAAACCTTTATAAGTCTGATGTGAAACAATTGCCAAGATATAAAATCTCTCTGGAAAGGTGCACAAGGAAATAACAACTGATAACATTTGTTGCCTCCAGAGATGGGAAGTATGTGCCCGAGAGGGTAGGAGGGAGACTTTCTACCCTTTTGCATTTTGAATCATGTGAATGTATTATCTATTAAAGGAATAAAAACAAAATGAAAAATAAAAGAAATGAAAAAGAAGCCATGTAAACAATTTGAATTGCTGTGAGATTTAATTGTTCAAAATGTGACTAAAACCTGAGATGCCATTTTTAAAAAATCAGTATATGTAATTGACTAGTATAATTATTGAAAATATGCATAAGGTTGAACTAAACATGAGACTAAGGGACAGCCTTTTTGAAGAGCTGTTGGGTCAATCTGAATACACTGTAATCTGAACTGCTTCATTGTTTCACTGTAGGGGAGGCACCTTTCATTTCATAGTTTACTGTGTGAAATGGTCCCCTTGGGAGCAGTGCTGTGATACAATTTTGCTAAACATGTATACTTGGCCTATAAGGCCCTACTTAAATTTCTGACTTCTCTCTCTGTCTTCTAAGGCTGGTTTTGTTTTTGTTTCAAGGCTTTTGTTCTTGCTCTTTCCTCTCTGGAATACTCTTCCTCTTCCTCCAGATCTTTGCATGTGCCTTATTCTCATCATTCAAGTCTTCCATAGCCTAATCCAAGGTCATGAAGATTTGTGCTTATGTTTTTTTCTCAGAGTTTCATAGTTTTAGCTCGTACATTTAGGACTTTATCCATTTTGAGTTAATTTTTGTATAGAGTATGAAGTGTAGGGATCCAAGTTTATTCTTTTGTATGTGGATATTTAGTTGTCCCAGCACCATTTTTTGAAGACTGTTCTTTGCTCATTGAATTATCTTGGCATCCTTGTCAGAAATCAGTTGACTGTAAATGTGAGGGTTTTTTCCTGGACTCTCAAGTGTATTCCATTGATCTATCCTAATGCCAACAATGCATTATCTTTATTATTGTGACTTGTAGTAATTTTTGAAATCAGGGAATATGAGCCCTTCAACTTTATTCTTTTTCAAGATCGTTTTGGCTATTCCAGTCTCTTAAATTTCAATATGAATTTTAGAATTAGCAAAGAAACCAGCTGGGATTTCCATAGAGAATGTTTTCAATATGTAGATCAATTTGGGGAGTATTGCCATCTTAACAATATTAAGCCTTCTGATCCATGAACATGGGTTGTCTTTCCATTTATTTAGATCTTTGATTTCTTTAAACGATATTTTGTAGTTTTCAAAGTATGAGTTTTATACTTCTTTTGTTAAATATATTCCTGGTTATTTTATTCTGCTTGATATTTTAAATGGAATTGTTTTCTTAATTTCACTTTTGGATTGTTTATTGCAAGGGTAATATAGATTTTTGTGTATTGATCTTATATCCTTGTTGAACTAATTTATTAGTTCTAATAGTTTTTTTAGTGGATTCCTTATGATTTTCTATATATAAGATTGTTTCATCTGCAAACAGAGATAGTTTTACTTCTTCTTGTCCAATCTAGGTACTTTTCATTTCATTTTCTGGCCTAATTCTTTTTGCTAGAACCTCCACAATATTGAATACAAGTGGCAAGAGTGGACATCCTATTTTTTCCTGATCTTAGGGGAAAGCCTTATAATAGCTTTTTCTTTGCTTTCGAAGTATAAAGCCTTAATATAATTTTAAAACTTTTAAATTATCTCATTTTTTTGTCTGCTGTGCTACCACCAGTTATATCATTGTATATTTTAGTCAGATGTATAGTTTTGCATTTTAGTTGTTTTCAAGGTAAAAGATTTTTATATTTGGGTAGATTTGTGAAGTGTGTTGATAATAATCAATTTCTGCATATGGATTTGATGGGCACTTAAATATTAACCAGAAATATTCATATTTTTTTGTTACTCTCAAAATAGATAAGTAAAGCCAAAATATATTTTTGCAATCACTCTGCAGAGCACTGCAGTGCTTATTTTCCATAAAACCCTGTGGTCTTCAAAGATAAGTGAACACAGTGATGTAATTTGCTTCTTTCCACATTTTGGTAGGCAAATACAACTGCTTTGTTGCTTGAACCCATCAGCAGTGGGAAAAAGTAGTTACAATTATTTGGTTATACTTCAAAGTAAATATATATCAGTGTTTGTACTGACCTTTTAAAGCTAAAGGTCATTATGATAGTTCACTTCTGTGTGAGTTTAGGAGGGTTTATTGTAAAAAATTTTTTTTCATCTATAACTCTATTAGTAGATTTATAACCAACCAAGTTGGAAACTTATTAGTATAGGTTGAAGACTTAAAAATTGCATGATTTTTTTTGAGGCTTGACAAAAAGCCTCACAAGAGAATGCAAAAAGTCTTTTTTTGCTTATATTTAGAAGCATTTTAGATTTCAAAACTTTTTACCAGAGAATATCTTGTTGGCATTCTTAATTTTCTCATTTGTAATTTGGGGTTAACAACTTTGTAGTTATGGGGATTAAACGAGTATTTTAAAAGTGCTTAAATCGTTGCATGGCACAGAGTAAATCCAGAGGGGCGAGGACAGCAGTATTTGGGAGTTAGTTTTGGTAGGATGATTAGGTAGAGGGTCAGAATGAGGAGGAAAGACGGTACCCATGTTTTTGTTTTCGGTGAATGGTGGTGCTTTGCATGGAGATAGAGAATAAAAGGAGAAAAGCCAATCCCAGCAGGAAATGAATTTAGCTTTGAGTTGGAGGCACCTTTGGGGCATTTGGATATAGGTGTATTCAGCTACATGTTAGCTACGTGGATATGGACCTCAGAGGAGGTCTAGAGTTGGAGACACAAGATTTAGGAGGTATCGGTGTGGATATAAGTGGTACTGAGGTTAAGTAGGTGTGAGTGTAGATTTTGATTTTTAACTTGGGGCTCATGGGCTTCAGGGGAAAACTCCTAAAATTGCATTAAAGTTTTGTTTGTATGTTTACTTTTATATATTTCTGTGGGAAATATTCATAGCTTTCATCAGATCCACAAAAGCATGAAAACTACTGGTATGGTTAATGAAAGATCACCTATTTCCTTGGCATGTGTTTTGGCATATTTTTATAAATGGGCAACTTGTTGGAGATATTGACAACTTCCTTCATTAGCATATAAGCTCTGCAAGGATAGGGGCCACAAGGATAGGGCACTGCTGTATAGTGTGTGGCACATGGTATATTTTCCATAAATATTTGATGAGTAAACAAGTACAAATAAACTTTGTATTTCCATAACAAATCAACTAGAAGGTAAAACCTATTGGTATGAAAACATCTTCTCTAGCCCTTTCTCCATGACTTTAAGCTATTAAAACATTTAATGACAATAATGTAGCCTAGAGAAATATAGTATTTATTATGTTGTGTGTCTATTTTTAGTTTGAAGGTAATTTCTATGTTCATTCAAGTAGTTTAAATTTGATTTTTTTGGATCAGAAGTCAGTTGTAAAAAGTTGACTTCTGGATGAATAAAAACCATAATCAGAGTACACTGGCCCTAGTGAAAATATTACATTCTGAACTATACCACTAGACCAGGCATAAACAGTCTCAAATGCTTTAATTATCCCAGTTATACAGGTATGATAGGAGAATTTATTTTTTTGTAGCCTAAATTAGGTAATTATTTCCATTTCATGTTTAATTTTGCAAGTGTTGGTTTGTATTTTTGGATCAGGTACCTGAAAACTTCAGTGATACAGTATTTCATTAAGAGAGTAGTCTAAGGCACAGTGATATTAAATATTATGACTTCAGAATCTTATACATCCTCTTTGCCACAGCAAGAATGGAAACCTGTCTTTTCACTGTCACGGGAGCAGCCTCTCAGGAAGACTTAATAGATTCTAGGGTGAGTAGAGGAAGCAGTTTCTATGCCCTTTCTGTTCCCTTGCTGTGCTTTATTTCATCTGTTCTGTTCTTTGCTTTGTTTTCTAAAGACAGAAAGATTAAGAGCAGAAAATAGAGTGGAAAGTGTCATAAGAACAGAGATTTAGCCTGTTTTGTTTATCCCAAGCACCAAGAATAGTGCTTGGCCCATAGAAGGCTCTCAGTAAATATTTCTTGAATGAATAAATGAATGATTGAATGAAAGAAGTTGATGCAGGTCCTTCCAGTTCTTCCTAGCTAGAACTTATTACCGTTCAAAGATTTTTCAGACCACACTTACATTTCACTCACTGGTGTTTTCCTCAGAGAGGTTCTTGAGGCCTGTGCTAGACTTTGCTGTATCAGTGACATTGATTATATATGTAGAGCTATTCTGGATTTCTAAAAAATGTAATTTGTTTGGCTAAAAACAAATTTGGAAGAAGAGGAAATATCCTCTCAAAGTGAAAGTATTTTTTTGTTTTTTATAACCACAATATTGTAATATGACGAGAGTGGCAACATAAGGATCAATTACATAAAGTCAACTTTAATAATATAGCTCAGAAATAATACTGTTAAT